GTTGATTGTAATCAATTACTAGTTATCAATAGTTAATAAATCAACGTTATACTACCTTGTTTACAAGCTAAAATTTTCGAGTGTTTTTATCGTGAAAACAACTGATAAAAATGTTAGATTTTGTCAAACTATCATTTCCAAAGATAATTTATTAACCATTTAAACCAGTGGATCGAAATACTTGTTTGTAACAATTAAGTTTACATGGAAAATAAATGGACCTTCATTAGGAAAGCCTTTGGTAGCTGTTTCGAGATTTTCGTTCTAATTGTAATCATCTGTTCTTTTGAATGTGAATTTTGACAATTTATTGTGACACTTTCTTTAAGCAAAGTTGATTCCTTGGATTATCTTTACCTTTGATCTTCATGGCAGAAGTAAGTATTAGTTGTTGTTCTTTCTATTATTATCCTTTAACTGACCTTTCGTTTAATTCAACAATTTGAATCTCTTTATCCCTTCCAGGTAACAAGTAATCAATCAATCGTCAAGTTGGACTGTGGTCACGACCAAAGTGGCGTTTTTTATGTTCACAAGTGTTTGAGGACATTTTGTGGAAAGTGTAAACGAGAAAATCGCTCATGTGTCTTGTGTAAATCTGAACTCTTAGAAACTGATTATCTCAAAGCAATTGACAGGAAGAAATGTGAAGATGATTCCGTTTGTAACAATCAAGCCATTTTCCAGTGTTTGTGCGGTAAAAAGTATTTTTGTGAGGATCATTTATTCAAATTTCATCGACCAATTTTACCATCAAAAAGATGTTGTGCTGTGATTCTCAGTTCGGACTTAGATGACCAACCATGTTCCATATGTAACAACCGTATCGCTGAATTTGTGGACAATACAACTAATGAGCTTTTCTGTGCTTCATGTAATCAGGATAATAACTCAGTTAATATTGTGCCCATTGAACTAGACAATAACAACAACGATACCGACAACACAAGCATAGCCAAAAGTGTTGAAATTTATCGAGTTGATGTACAAAAAAGGTTGGATCTATTGAACAACAAGCTAAAAGATTATACGATTGAGATAGAAAATGAAAGATCCGAATTCAATAAAGGAATTGGCCACATGAGAAGTAAATTAGAAAGTTACTTGAGTGCCAACAAAGCCAAAACAGACTCTTTGCGAGCGGAAGTATACAAGGTTAAACAATTTTCGAATCAATTGAATCGTAATGATAAATTTGGAATAATCGATCTCATCAAGTCGAATAAGCTTAACAATAAACTCGCGGACTCGAAATTAAAGTTATGGGTCGAAGAGATAGTGCAATCGTATGTTATTCCTGAATTAACCAAATCGGGTGTAGATTGGACTAAAGAATCTGAAAGAGCTTTTCATGAGTTGATTCCTGGTCCACGGAACTGGAAGCTTAATCATGGTCCTTTTTTTCCTGACAATTTACTCAAATTAACTTACGACTTAATCAAAGAACAACTTTTGCACCAGAATATCTGTAGAGCTTCGTCTTGTTACTGTGAACAAAACAGTCTCATGAAAAAAGTTCAAGACCTTAGGACTGAATATAAGCTTTCACAAAATAATCTGGATTATTTTCTCGATTGCTCATCAATCGCTGGTGGTGATGTAACTCTAATGATTGAAACTGGTAAACGAGCTCTTAATCAGTCTGATTTTCATATCGCACGAGTTTGTTTTGAAGAAGCTCATCGAATCAGTCCGACCAATTGGATTGTTCTCGACACTTTAATGGGTCTCTATTTCGTGCTTAATCATTACCGTAATTGTCTTAAGCTCGCAATCAAAGGATTAATGAAAGATGGCAACTACTTTAAAGCTCGCGTTTTAATATCAGAGATTTTGAAATCTTCACCAACCTTAAAACCAGAATTACCTGTTGGTCTGGATTATCTACTGATTGTAGTTCTGAGTGTTATGACAAGAAAAACAAAAACTTTAGACGAACTCAAGAAGATGAAAAAACTTCGTGATGAACAAAAGAAAACTGGAACGCAACAAGAAAATGCTCGGAAGTCTTTGCAATTAGACCTCAATACCGAAACACTTTCGTCGCTACAATCATTAATTTCAGCTTTAATCATCGTAAGCAGTGAAATGGAGAAACAAAAACTCAATCGTAATAAATCAATAACATTGAAAATCACTGGCAATCCTCGTTCCAATGCTAATACGATTTCTTCCAAAGGAAATCTTATTCAAAATAATAAACGAAACAGCCAAGGATCGAGTCCTGGTCCATCAGCAAAAAGAAGATCAGTTGAAGATTTACAGCCGAAAGATCCAATAGTCAACAATATGTACGAAAAAATATTTTCAATGTTCCCTAAAAGTATTTTAACTTGTGAAAAAGTCCAAGAAGAGGAGTTACAGGTACAAACAAAGAACGAAGCTCAAGTGGAACGTTTAATTTTGGCCCGTTATCGCTTGAAACAAATACCATTCATCTCAAAAGGCAGACAAGTTCATCTGCTTATTGCTGATCTTTTTATGTTAATAGCAAACGAAGCCACTGCAATCAAATTACCTTCTAATTTCAGAGATCTGTACAGAATTTATCGAAAATGGTATCCGTTACAGACAACTTTAATATGCTTAATCAAGAATATAAGTGTTGACAAAACAAATTTGATTTTAATTGCTAATGAAGTTCAGTTCGATAAATCCGAAGCGATAATTTTAACTGAATCAATTCCATATCTAAGAAATTTGATGATTACTCCAGATTACGATAAATTTTTCATTCGTCTTTTGATTCTTCGAGGAATCAAAGAATCTAAAGTTGATTATCTTCTAATGGCAAATGAATTGTTTACCAAAACTAACCTCAAATTAGTGCGAGCGGCAAATCAAACTGTGTATACCTCTTCTAGTCTTAGATCAATGATAAATAAGATGAATGAAAATAATTTGGACACATTATTGGATCAACATCGACACGAGGAAATTGTTGAACTATTCGCATCTAAATCTGAGCTCTAAACAAGAAGAAGAGTATCTTTGTCAAGCTATTCAATCATCACAACAATGGGAACGAGGATCGAAATAATTGCTCAAGTAAACAATTGACCGACACATTGCTAAATCTATTACGATCTTGTCTAAAGAATGGTCATGGAACATCTATTGATCGAGAATTGGCCATCAAATTGTTAAAATTAGGAACTGAAGATTACAACGTAATGGCCTGGACTTGTATTCTACAAACTTTCATAAACGAGATGCGATGTGGACACATTGACGAAGGGCAAATCACTTATTTAATTAACTCAATTCATGAATATCTTGGGAATAAAGGAGTTTGTTGTCATTCCAATGGAGAGTTTTTATCTCTTTCACTCGATTATTCGATCAATCAATCAACTATCCTGAGAGAGAAATTAATTCTTAGCTGTCTTGGTTGTTTTTACAAACAATTAGAATGTAACTTTCTATCAGCTCATCCTGAATCGGGAGTTTCTTTACATTGGAAGGACATGAATACTATTTATAATCATTTTATTCCTAAAACTTTTCCAACTTTTGATAGTGAAAAATGTGATTCTATCAATGCAAATACTGCAGAGCTGTTACTCAAATTGCTTTCCAAGGTCCCTGAAAATTTAAATCCTGAAAGATTTTCCAATTCTGTCAAAGAATATGTCGATCATGGAAAATCCATTGAGCCGTCATCAAGTATTCCAAAAGATCATGTTACTCAAGATCTTTACTATTATCTAGCTGATTATTACTTAAAAAACAAAGAGGTTCTGTAAGTTAATTCATTTAATAGCTAGCAAATTTAAACGTTTCTAATAATATTCATCTAATTCATAGAAAAGCCGTGCAATTTTATATTCTTGATTTAACTTTAAATCGAAATCGATTCGATTCATGGGTTGGCTGTGCACTCGCAATAACAAGTCAAATTGATCAATCTTCTTCAACTGTAAGTACAAAAACTTATTTTGTTAAAGCTCTAATCTCATATTTCTATTCACGAACAGAATGGTCGAGTTTTCTACTCATCTACTCATGAGGTGTTGCTTTTTGGGCAAAAAGCATTTCGTTGTTACAATAAAGCGACTCCATTGAAAGATAATAATTCCAAGGTATGGTTCGAATATGGAAAGTGCGCTTATAACATTGCGAGTTATATTTCTCGAGTCATGAAATTTGGACCAGTTTTGGAGAATTCACAAAAGGAAGAGATGAATAAACAGCGAAAGAAATTCTTAGAACAAGCTCGCGTTTGCTTCGAATCAGCTAACAAATTTGCCAATGCTGACGAAATTATGATGAATTATTATTTCTTAGGAAAAATCGCTGAGAGAAGTGACATCTCAGAGGCACTTCGTTATTACGAATTATCTTTGTCTCATTTTGTCTCAAATGGAGATATTTCTGGAATTAATAATGTCAATTCTATTCATTATCGTTTTGGCATTGAAATTCACTATCGTATTCACGCTTATGCCCTCAAGTATAATCAAAGAGATAAAACTCTATCACCGGAAATACTGGAGGTTCTAACTCGTGCAGAAAAAAGTATTACTCTCTTTGATTCTGTGTCAAGAAATAATGAAACCATTGATGATACCGGAAAGGGAATTTCTGATTTGGATACTGTGAAAAGTGAAGACCAACGATTACATCGAAAAATCATAAATCTGTGTCGTGAAGCGATGCTTAGAATATTAAGATGTTCTCCAGGTCATTACAAAGCTCTTTCTCGAATGGCTTATCTTTATTCTCTTTCTGAAGATTTTGCAAACGCTCGAAAGATACTCACCGAGCCATTTGAACCGCCAACTCATCCTCAAAGTTCTACTACTTCCGAAATTGGGGATAATTCAACTGAAACAGTAAAATCTTCACCCATTCAAGATCTTTTCGACACGACTAAATGTAACTATTATATATTCCATGGAATCCTGAAGACATTGAACTACTCAATCGAGAGACCAGGAAGTTTCTGTACTCACATCCGTCGATCGACAGATTTACTGATTGATGAATAAAACTTTAGGTGATGCTGAACAATTATTGAGAATCGCAATATTTTGAATTCATTAGAATTGAGAAGCAAAGGATATCTTCGTGAAACCGATCGTGAAAATCTTGGGAAAAAGCATTGGAACTTTGTTTTAGTATTTACGAGAGTCGAATTGTAGAGGCAAAGGAAATCATCAGGACTTAAAGTCAATTGAAGCCAATTTAAGGAAATATGTAATAAATTGATGGAATATCCTTTCTACGAACATTCTGCTAAACAATTTCTCGAAAAACATGACAATCGCGCTGAATGTATAACAATTGATTAATCACTAACTTTAATGACGAATATCTTTCCTTACAGAGTTTTTTAAATTCGCAAAAATCTTTACTGATTATGAACGAAACTAATATTTTTTGACTAATTACTTTTGTGAATACAAAAAAGTATTTTATGTAATTTTACAGAGAAATCGAATAATTTGAATAAATCTGGATCAGTTTTTTTATCATTTCAAAGGATTAATGAAAGACAACGATTACTGCAAAGCTTGTGTATTAATATCAGAGATGTTGGAACGTTTTCCATCCATACGAATAGAATTACATGTCGAGTATCTGCACTATTGGAATTCTGCAGTTGATATTAAAAGGAAGAAAAAACTTATGGGTGACATCGAGAATTTGAAGAAGCTCAATAATATATTACAATAATGGAAAAAATATTGGAAAAAGCACAAGAAAATGTTTCAAAATCTCTAAGCTTAGATCATAATGCTGGCAGACTAACAATTAAAGACAATCATCTATTGATGTTCATCTGATGTTGCATGTTGATCGGAACGTTGATTGTTAACAGCTAATAACAATTTAGAAAAATTATCTCCATAAGTTAGATGATTTAATTGTAATACATTGAATTTCAAGGAAAAGACTGACCGATGAAAATATCTCCATTATTTCAATACGAACAACTATTTTTTTCTTATTTAAATTTAATCGAATTGATGTAAAACATTCAAAATTAATTCATTTTCTATTTCAAAGATTCCGATAAGTTTAAAGTTTTTTAATCGAGATCGTTTTTAATTACTAACCTTTTGAATTTCCCCTCATACGAAAAATGAACAATTTTAGTAAGTTGATTGTAATTACTATCAGACAACATTATCAAGTGACCAGGACGTTTTATTACCCACATGCATTTCCATCCACTCAGTTATTGATCAAAGTTAACAAGAATTATTAATGATGCTGATCAATTGCTCAAAATCTCAACGCTTTTGACTTCGTCAGAATTGAGTAGCAAAGGATTTCTGCGTGTTGCATATCAACAAAATCTAAAACAAACAAGAAATGAAACATTGTAACACATGAGAATCGTATTTTAGTATCGATAACAATTCGTAACGGCCAATTAAAGCTGATGTACGAAGAATGTTTAACAAGTTAATGGAACATCCTGTCTGAAGAATACGCTGAACGATTTCATGATGTGTAACAATTAACTAACCACTGTTTTCACGATATGAAAGTCTCATAATCAAGTTTCTTTTTCAGTTCTCATGATTTTCACCGACACTAAAATTGTTTCAATTTAAATGCTTTGTTTGTGATTGCAAAAAGATTGTTGTTTATTCTTTTGAATTTCCCGCTCTTTTGAAAAATGAACAGGTTTAGTTGATTGTAATTACTAGTTATCAATAGTTAATAAATTAACATTATATTAACTTGTTTATAAATTTCGAGTGTTTTTTTTATCGTGAAAAGAACTGACAGAATGTTTCATTTTTTGTCAAACTGAAATTTCCAAAAGATATTTACTTATATTAACCATTTAAACCAGTGAATCGAAAGACTTGTTTGTAACAATTAAGTGAAAATGGAAAATAGTTGGGCCTTTAATTAAAAGGCCTTTGGTAGCTGTTCGTTGTTTGAACTGTAATCATCTCGTCTTTGAATGTGAATGTTGATTATTTATTGATACGTTTTCCATAAATACAGTTGATTTCTTTATTCATCTTTACCTTTGATCCTCATGGCAGAAGTAAGTATTAGTTGTTGTTCTTTCTATTATTATCCTTTAACTGACCTTTCGTTCAATTCAACAGTTTAAATCTCTTTATCCCCTCCAGGTAACAAGTAACCAATCAATCGTCAAGTTGGACTGTGGTCACGATAAAAGTGACGTTTTTTATGTTCACAAGTGTTTGAAGACATTTTGTAGAAAGTGTAAACTAGAAAATCGCTCATGTGTCTTGTGTAAATCTGAACTCTTAGAAACTGATTATCTCAAAGCAATTGACAGGAAGAAATGTGAAGATGATTCCGTTTGCAACAATCAAGCCATTTTCCAGTGTTTGTGCGGTAAAAAGTATTTTTGTGAGGATCATTTATTCAAATTTCATCGACCAATTTTACCATCAAAAAGATGTTGTGCTGTGATTCTCAGTTCGGACTTAGATGACCAACCATGTTCCATATGTAACAACCGTATCGCTGAATTTGTGGACAATACAACTAATGAGCTTTTCTGTGCTTCATGTAATCAGAATAATAACTCAGTTAATATTGTGCCCATTGAACTAGACAATAACAACAACGATACCGACAACACAAGCATAGCCAAAAGTGTTGAAATTTATCGAGTTGATGTACAAAAAAGGTTGGATCTATTGAACAACAAGCTAAAAGATTATACGATTGAGATAGAAAACGAAAAGGCAGAATTCAATAAAGGCATCGGTCACATGAGAAGTAAACTAGAAAGTTACTTGAGTGCCAACAAAGCCAAAATAGACTCTTTGCGAGCGGAAGTAACAAAGTAAAACAATTTTGAATCAATTGAATCGCAGTGATAAATTTGGAATAATCATCTCATCAAGTCGAATAAGCTTAACAATATACTCGCGGACTCGAAATTAAAGTTATGGGTCGAAGAGATAGTGCAATCGTATGTTATTCCTGAATTAACCAAATCGGGTGTAGATTGGACTGAAGAATCTAAAAGAGCTTTTCATGAGTTGGTTCCTAGTCCGCGGAACTGGAAGCTTAATCATGGTCCTTTTTTTCCTGACAATTTTCTCAAATTAACTTACGACTTAATCAAAGAACAAATTTTCCACCGAACTATCTGTAGAGCTTCATCTTGTTACTGTGAACAAAACAGTCTCACGAAAAAATTTTACGACCTTAAGACTGAATGTAAACTTTCACAAAATAATCTGGATTATTTTCTCGATTGCTCATCAATCGCTGGTGGTTGTATAACTCTATTGATTGAAACAGGTAAACGAGCTCTTAATCAGTCTGATTTTGTCGTCGCTGAAGTTTGTTTTGAAGAAGCTCATAGACTCAGTCCGAACAATTGGATTGTTCTTGACACTTTAATGGGTCTTTATTTCGTTCTAAATGACTTCAGTAACTGTCTAAAACTTGCGGTCAAAGGTTTGACTGCAGATTCTAATTACTTCAAAGCTCGTGTTTTAATATCTGAGATTTTGAAATCAACACCAACTTTAAAATCAGAAATACCTGTTGATCTTGATTATCTAATCGATTGTAGTTCTGCAGATGATTTGACAAGAAAAACAAAAATTTTAGACAAACTCAACAAGACGAAACAACTTCGTGATGGACAAAAGAAGACTGAAACTCAGCAAGAAAATGTTCGAAAATCTCTGCTATTAGACCTCAATATCGAAACGATTTCGCTACAATCCTTGATTTCAGCTTTAATAGTTGTTAATAGTGAAATCGAAAAACAAAAACTCAACCTTAGTACATTTATACCATTGAAGATCACTGGCAATCCTCTTTCTAATCCTCTGTCCAATGCTAATACAATTTCTTCAAAAGAGAACCTTAATCAAAATAATAAACGAAAGAGCCAAGGTCATGATCCTTCAGCGAAACGAAAATCGGGCGAAGATTTACAGCCGAAAGATCCAATAGCCATCAGCATGTACGAAAAGATATTCACAATGTTACCAGAAAGTATTTTAACACGTGAAATAGTCCAAGAAGAGGAGTTACAGGTACAAACAAAGAACGAAGCTCAAGTGGAACATTTAATTTTAACCGTTACCTCTCGAAACAAATACCATTCATCTCAAAAGGCAGACAAGTTCATCTGCTTATTGCTGATCTTTTATGTTAATAGCAAACGAAGCCACTGCAATCAAATTACCTTCTAATTTCAGAGATCTGTACAGAATTTATCGAAAATGGTATCCATTACCGACACCCTTAACGTGTTCAATCATGAATATAGATGTTGGCAGAACAAACTTGATTTTAATTGCTAATGAAGTTGAATTCAATCAATCCGAAGCAATATTTTTGACTGAATCGATTCCCTATCTACGAGATTTGATGATTACTCCAGATTATGATAAATTTTTCATTCGTCTTTTGATTCTTCGAGGGATCAAAGAATCTAAAGTTGATTATCTTCTAATGGCAAATGAATTGTTTACAAAACTAACCTCAAATTAGTGCGAGCAGCAAATCAAACTGTGTATACCTCTTCTAGTCTTAGATCAATGATTAACAAGATGAATGAAAATAATTTGGACATTATTGGATCAGCATCGACACGAGGAAATTGTTGAACTATTCGCATCTAAATCTGAGTTCTCTAAACAAGAAGAAGGTATCTTTGTCAAGCTATTCAATCATCACAACAATGGGAACGAGGATCGAAATAATTGCTCAAGTAAACAATTAACCGACACATTGCTAAATCTATTACGATCTTGTCTAAAGAATGGTCATGGAACATCTATTGATCGAAATTGGCCATCAAATTGTTAAAATTAGGAACTGAAGATTACAACGTAATGGCCTGGACTTGTATTCTACAAACTTTCATAAACGAGATGCGATGTGGACACATTGACGAAGGGCAAATCACTTACTTGATTAACTCAATTCATGAATATCTAGGAGTGAAGGAGTTTGTTGTCATTCAATGGAGAGTTTTATCTCTTTCACTCAATTATAATCAATCAATCAAATATCATGA